TGGTTAGGTGGTTATCAAAATATTTGCAATTGATGAAAAGGGTGTGACTCACAATTTTATATTGGACACGAGGCATAATAGTTGGTGATTGATAGATAACATTATCATGTGGTGCACTTGTAATACCTAATAATTTTTTATTAGTACTCAATGAATTAACGCTTTTCAATTTCTTCCGCCTTTTCATAAGGGTAAAATAATCATATATATACATAAATATTTTGAAAATAAGACTTTATGAGTTAAAAACAATAAATCAAGACTTAATGGAATATTAACCTTATCAATAGGACTTCTAGATAATTAATCCATTATTAATAGTTTAACAGAAAGAAGTTTCGTGGAGATCCATGGTACAATAATTCTTTGATGTAACAACATTGGTTCAAATACTTTATCTCATCAAAAAATTTCTAGAGAGTGATGAAGAGATTTCTTGGTAACTTCCTTTCAGCTTCTATGTGAATAACGCAGTAACTTGCAGGAAAAGGGGCAAAAAAAAAATAAAAAATAAAACCTTTATTTAACTAAATTTTAAAAAAAATTAGGGGCTAAGATTAGGAATTGTATCGCATTAATTCAGATTTATGTCAAAATGATTCATAAAATATTTGATTTCAATCAATTGCATTTTCTTAATTTAAAAACAAAATTTATAGCATATTATTATATTTTTTAATTAGATTGACTCTAAAATAAGTAACAAAAAAAAAAAAGAGGACAAAATTTACTTTACCACCTATGATTTAGGCCATTTACACTTTATCCCCTATTATTTTGAAATAGCCACTTACCCATTGTGATTTTAGTTGTTTTGTAATTTACCTCCGTCATTATTTATTTCATCTTAATTAACAAAATTTGTCACACACACACACAGAAATATAGAGTAAAGCATTGACAAAAATTAATTTAGAAGTTTAAATATAATGTAAAAAGATACATTTGTCCAAAATTTCATTTTCTCCGCTATCATCTTCTTTCCTAGAATCTAACCCTAATTCTGAAAACCTTAGCCCTAACCACCTTCTCCTACCTCCAGCCGCCTCTGTACCACCACCCGTTGCCACCAGACCACAGAAGAAGCCAACAATGAAGCTCTACCACCACTACCACCTCCTCCATCTTTCTCTTCACCGCCGTCGCCACTACTACCACCACCACTACCACCGCCGCCGTTGCCACTTCGCCACCAAATGCAGCAGCAGAGTCGTCGTCAAAGCAAACAACGGCCACTCCTTCGCCGTCGAAGTTGACTCCCCCAACCTCCAAACCAACACAAGATGCTACTCTCTCCCGACCTCATCTACAAATTACCAAAAGCCTCTCCTCCACCACCACCACCACCACCTCCAACCCCTTCTTTGAACTCTCTAACTACCTCCAAATCCTAACCCTAACCCCCTCCAAAGCCTCTGAAATCCTTAAATCCTTCAATTTCCCCACCCTCCCCCTCAGTTTCTTTCAATTTTGCCCCTCATCTATCCCTCAAATTCCGCCACAACTCCTTCACCTACAATCACATCCTCCTCGTCCTCCCAAAATCCTCTTCTCGCGACCGATCCAAATTGCTATAATATATATATATATATATATATTGTTTACTTGCTTCAGATATATATACATATATAAAATATACTTATATTTATAATATATATTTTTTATTATATGATATTATACATTATATTTTTGTTTTAATGTAGTATGAGATTAAATTAGAAATAGAGTTAAGAAATTAGAAAAATTATGTGATTAAATTAAATTAATTGTATAATAGAAGAGATAGAATGAGAAAATAGAAAGGAAAAGGAAAAAAAGTAGAAGGGTATTAAGGTCATTTTATATTTTTGGCTAACAGTATTAGTGTTGTACTTTAATCCAAAACCATAAAGGGTAAGTGACTGTTTCCAAATAATAGGGAGGTAAAGTGTAAATGACCAAAATCAAAGGGGGGTAAAGTGGATTTTGCCAAAAAAATATGTATCTGAAATGAAAAAAATTATTACACTAAAATTCATATTTTATCTACTTTTGTAGTTAGATGGAGTTACATAAAAATTTTAAAATATCATAGCACCTTTTAATAGAAATAAAATTAAAATGTATAACTAATTATTTATATTATTGGATTCATGTCGAAAAATGATCAACATCAATTCACTAATTTCGTGTATGATTCATGACCTCAACTAATTTTAACACTTGTAGTATGGGTAAATTACATCTCTTTTAGGTTTGGTTATTTTCCCACTTTAACCTCTTTTTTTATTTTTTATTTTAGCCCTTTATGGTTTAATTTTTTCTCAATTTACTCCTAAAATTAATTTTTATTCAAGATTAGACAAAAAATGTCATGTTAACTATCACATAACTTAAAAAATATATTATTGTATTAGAATTTGAGTTTGTGTCAGATTTGTAAGTTATATAGAATATTTCTATGCCACGTAGTTGTCAACTTGTCATTTTATATCTAACTTTGGACACAAGTTAGCTTTTGGTAAATTGGGAAATTTGAAAGATGAAGGGCTAAAATGAGAAAAAATAAATTTGAAGGGTTAAAGTGAAAAAATAATCAAGCATAAAGGGGGCAAAGTATAACTTAGCTTTTATAGTATTTGTAGGCCAAAAAATAAGGCTTCCATTTAATTATGTTAAATTCACAATCTAAGCTAAGAGGTCTTTAAAAATTATGAATGTTTAATTAGTTTGCATCTAAAATATGATTTGAATAATATTTAATTAATAATTTGTTGTGGTTGTTCAAATTTTATTTGATATTATAATTTTATATTTTATTCAAGAGAAATGTTACAATGTGCACCCTCAAAAAGGTGCATATGATATGTTTTTCATAACTTTTTACAAAATTTCATAATTTAAACCCAAAATGTCATAATTTTTTCACTATAAAAGTCATAACTTTTTTTCACTGAAAAATGTGATAACAAAATCTTAAAGTGTCATAACAAAAATCATAAAATGTCATAACATTATCATTTCTAACTTTAGGGTATACCTCATAAATTTTCTATTTATAACTTTACTACAAAATGTCATAACACACATCACAAACAATCATAACGTTCATCACAAACAATCATAACATTCATCATAAAAAGTCATAACTTTTTTACAATGTACACCATTTGAAAGGGAGCACATTGTAAATTTCTCCTTTATTCAATGTTAACAAGACTATTTTTCCCCTTTCTAAAACATGACCATAGTTTTATTTATTTTTAGTTATTGTAATGATTTATTCATGTCTTGATCTAAGAAACTAAATTTAGTATATAATTATGGTGATCATATACGCAAGTAAAATTTGTGTGGATATTAACAAATAAAAAAAAATCATAAATAGTTATCATTTTGTCCAAACACTTTCTATTTTATTTATAATTATGTATAAAGGGTCAAATTTTAAGATTTTGCCTTGAGTCTCTTGAATAACTCAAGGTGGGCGTTATGTGCACTTTAAAAGCGTACATCATAAGAAAAGTAATAAATATTTGTAGTGTATTATCTCATTTTGTTATAAAAGTTATCAATGACGAAGTTAGGGTGTGCACCTTAACTCATTGCCCAATTTCAAGATTTCACCTTAAGTCCTGAATAACTCAGAGCCGACCTTGTGTGCATTTTAAAAGTATACATAATAAGAAAAGAAATCAGTGTGTTTGGTTTGAGTTTTCTGGATTAAGTTTTTTGAAAATTGACGTTTTTGGTTTTCGTGTTTTTTTTTATTTTTAGTGAATATTTTTTAAATTTTAAACATTTTTTTTACTTTTTTAGATGCACCTTACTTAGATGTATCTAAAAAGTAAAAAATTTGTGAAAAAATATTTTAAAAAATTAATAAATATATAAAAATACAAAAAATATACTGAATTCTTGTATTTTTTTTTTGTATTTTTGATATTTAGTGAATTTTTAAAAGATTTTTGTTTACAATTTTTTTACTTTTTAGGTGTATTTATGTTAGGTGTGTCTAAAAAGTAAAAAAAATTGCTTAAAATATTAAAAAAATTCAGTAAAAACAAAAAAAAAAAACACGAAAAATAAGAAAGTAAAATTTTTCTGAAAAAGTAGAAACAAGCAAGGTATTTTATTATGAAAATTATGAATATTTATAGGATGTTATGTCATTTTGTTATAAAAATCATGGATGACAAATTTAAGGTGTCCACCTTAAAATTACGAATAACAAAGTTATGCCACTTTGTAATAAAAGTTAATTTTTTTGTGGGCCTAGGCTTGTCTCCAATCCTAATCAGACTAAATTGTACTATTGAATCTTCATGGGCCCACCACGAAGCCCAAATCGACAATTCGAACTGTTCAATGTGTAGAACTCGTCAAGTATTTCATTTCTCAAAAAATCATGTTGATCGAATATCCATAGCTACATGATCAGTTCACATTTCTATCAATGGTAACTATGGTTTCTTTTAAAAAAAAAAAAAAAAAAATTGTTGATAGAAATGTGATCTGATCAAGTGGTTATCGATATCTTATCAATGTGATTTTTTGCAGGGATGAAGTACTCAACGAGTGCTACACATTGAACGGTTCGGATTATCGAAATGGGCTCTAAATAGGCCGAAGTGAACGGTTTAGTTGGGCTGTCCAATTTGAGACAATCCAATCCCTTTTTCTAAGCAAAAATTATAGCCTTCACATCAGTAGGGAAATTAAATAATAATCCTGGAACACCACGTGACCATACTTCAAACCAATCAGCAATTACTTAGCCCCTATGTTGTTCCCCCATCCTAACATAAATCGTAGGCCTCTACCTCTCTCTATCAATCAAAAGTTTATGGAGCACCACGTGTCCATACTCCGAGAATATTGAATAATCACCCCACATCAGTGACATGTTATGTTATTATTGTTATTTTTGCTACATGCAAGTTGAAGGTACCTATGTATGAAATTAACAATTTTATTTTACTTTATTGTTTTTGATTAGTGTTGGGGTAAGAGAAAAAAAAATGGAGAATATTCAGAGGAATCCATTGATGACGCATCTACTAATGAAACAAAGGAGTCATTGCATTACAATAGAAGAATTAGATAGCAACAACGAGTCATCAATTCGATCTACTAATGAAACAGAGGAATCCATTGATGATGCATCTATTGTTCTCATGCGAAAGCGTTTGAAAGATTTTGGTGGAAGCGGAATCCAAATCTCGGAAATTAGGAGCTCTGTTTGCATATTTAGAGCCCCTCAAAGCTTCAGAGAAATCAGTTGCGAGGCTGCTATTGACCCAGAAATGGTGTCAATAGGCCCTTATCACCATGGCAAAAATCAGGTCCAAAGATTTGAAGGTTACAAATGGCGGTATCTTCGTTCCCTACTTTCTCGAACAGAGGCAATGGGGGTCGATTTACGCCAGTTAAGGGAGGCCATGAAAGGATTAGAGAGCGAGGCAAGAAGTTGTTACTCAGAGCCCATTCCAATGTCAAGCAACGATTTCATTCATATGATGGTACTTGATGGTTGCTTTATTGTTGAGCTCTTACATCAAGTTTGCGAAAGTCAAGGTTCTGAAAATGTCAACATCCCAATCTTCATGAAAGACCTCCTTAAGCTTGAAAACCAACTTCCTTTATTTGTTCTTCAGAAGCTATATGATTTCTCCATTGGCAATGGTGACCAAGATCCCCATAGAGAATTTCTTTCAGATGAGAACCCCACCAATATTACTTTGCCTGCTTTAAAATTCTTTCGTCCTGCTCTCCCAATGTCTCTTAGCTCACTTGAAAGTCCAAAAATTTTGAAACGCTATCATCTACTTGACTTGTTTCACGAAAGCTTCCAACCCTCAAGATATTTTGAACCAATGTTGGGGTCTATATGCTCTCCTTCCACATCACATGGATTACAAGAATATAGTAGCCCATTGTGTAATCGGTCAATGCCATGTGTGACACAACTCCGACTTACTGGGATCAAGTTCAGCCCAGCCAAAAGCACTACTGATAGCTTCTTGGAGATAAATTTCGACCAAGGGGTGCTAGAAATCCAACCTATAACCATCAATGATTTCACCAGTACCGCCTTAATCAATTGTGCCGCCTTAGAACAATGCCTCCAACATACCCATACATGTTTTTCTGCATATATTGCTTTCATGAGTAGTCTCATCAACTCAGCGAGAGACGTTACATTCCTTTGTGATGATGGAATTATCGCCAATTCCTCCTACAATGATCTACGTATTGCTCATCTTTTCAAAAAATTGGGAGAAAATGTTGAGTTCAATATTAGAGATCTTTACCTCTCTAAGCAATTCAGAGATGTGGAGGCCTACTATAGAAGCCACTGGGCATCTTTGAGGCGTAAATATTTTAGCAATCCGTGGAGATCTATCTCGGTTGTCACAGCCTCTGTTCTACTGTTGTTGGCGGGAATACAAGCAATTATGAACATTTTGAGCTACAAGGTCCATCATAGTTAATGTTTCTAAACCATCAAACTCGGTCAAATTTAACTGTGTCAGAGATGAATGTTTACCTTAGCTATTTTCTTTTTATGCACAATGAGTTAGGCCATGCAATTTATGCATTTGCTTAGAAGAGAAAAGCTCCATGATGCTTTTCTTTTATTTTTCTATGTAGTTTTGTGTTTGTTTTAGCAAATTGCAAGAAACAGTCAATTGCAAACTGTCATGTATTTGGTCCTTTTTTTTATTATTTTTGCTATTTGTTCCAGAGTTTGCATGTAGTTACATCTTTGTAGCTTGTCGCAATGAGTATGGTACCTACACTGAAGGAAATTAAGTTGAGGTGCCAAAAACGCCACTAATTCTTTTTGTGACGCTTAGCACCAAACGCCGAAAGCACGACTGTTGCTATAGCATTGTGGTGCTTTAGAAACGCGTTTAAAAAGCGTAATAGCGCCACTAAATGTGGTACATAACGGTAAAGTGACGTCACAACAATTTTTTGCGATGTTTCAAAAATGTCGTCGTAGCTTTTTTTTTTTTAAATTTAAAAATCGAACCGTTGGCATATAGTGGCATTTTGAAAAATGCCATTATATCTTTAATTTTTTTAATTATTTTTTTTGAAATTGTGCAAATTCTATTTGGTTGAACTAAAAAAATACCTGTAATAAAGTGAAAAAATAACACTAATATGAAACAATAACTCCCATTCGCATTCAAATGAACATTTGTCAAAAGGTAAGCCGATTATATGAAAAGCTGTCAAGTAGCAAATACAGTATTAGTGCACTTTCCAATTCAATTTAATATCCAATCACTATTAACCACAAAAAAACATATCCACAAATCATATTTTAACATTCACCAAAAAATAATAGGAAAAACATCAAGACAAACCCTATGAGTTTTGATTTAATTTAATGTCTTGTCATATGGAGAATGGTATCGTGAACAATCCTTAGAAGTTTATCTGCAAAGAAAGAACTGATCTGCAAAATACAATTTACATGAACAAAATATAAGTAGCAGGAGGAATTAAGAACTTATACAAGCTTTGGTAACTAAATCCTATTTCATACTTGCTTCCTGAGATATTCTGTCATGTGTGACTCGAAAGTTTCTGCATCTGTAACAGTTATTGATGGAGTGCATAAGTTGCCATCCCTAAAAAATGCTTTAATTGCAATTTGTTCTCATGCATATTTCCATGAATATACATAAATTTAGAGACAATCAAAATGAAGTGATTCGATATAACAGCCCAAAAGGCAGTGATATCAGTCAAAATATGAAGAAAGAAGATCATATAAAATAATACATAGTAGTTGATGAAGCTTGTGATTAAATGATTCAATTTAACTATGTCATATTAAATTGCATAAAGTAATGTTTCAATATCTCTTATAACTTAAGGGCATGTTTGATTGGGTGGATTAGAGCATGGGATTAGGATTATTAATCCGTGGGCCCAATTATCCTATGTTTGTTTAACATTTTGGTTTAGGATTATTAATTCAATGGATAATTAATCCAACAAATTTGTAGGATTATTAGTAATGGGGTAGGGTGGGATTATTAATCCAATGGATATTAATCCAATTGGACAATGAATACCACACTAATTTAATAGGATTATTAATATTTCACTATTAATCTTGTGAATCAAACATGACCTAAAAGTATTGGTGACATAGAAAAATAGTTGGGTGACTACCTAAGTTGCCTTAGGTAAGTTTTCAGCAATATTCCAACTTGAAACAATATCCACTTGAGATTCATCATGCACAATTCCGTTTTCTGGTTCAAAAATACCTTCTAATGTTTCACTATTGATTCTAGCTTATATTCCACCATAATTGTAGTATCATAGAAAAATTGGAACAAAAATTTATTAGAACATAGAATCAAAACAGAATATATTTTACTACTGCACCACAATTTGGAACCAATTGATACACACCATGGCTTTAATGCACTATATATTCTTTGTAAAATATCTGACACTAAATTTGAAACTTTTGCCAAAAAACTAGAAGGAATCTAAGGTTGTTATCAGAATGCCTAACAAATGTAGTTTAAACATGTAGTTTGAGAAACCAATTTTAAACCTCAAAACTGCCTAAGGATTAGAATTTTTCTAGCCTTTGTTCAAATTTCTCTAGCCTTCACTTATTTTGAGTCATCAAATAGACTTCAGAATTTCTCTTAACAGAGATTTGGATGGTAGTACAAGGGCAACCAGAAGTTTTCTGTACTTGTAGTGGTGCTCACTGCTTATATATTAAAATTAATTCCATGACCTTGAGGTTAAATTCAAATTGGAAAGAGGAATTTTGACTAACATAGGTACATAATAAATGAAGTAGAAAAGTACAAATAAAACAAAGTAGATAATAGAGGAGAAATCACATTGTACTAACTTGATCCATAAAAAGCAACGAATGCCAGAACTGCAATTGTTCAAGCTCAATCCACTCAAGTAGATCTCTATAACCATAAAACAAGGATTACAAAGGATAGGACAAAAGATGAAACCTATTGATAACAACTTTTTGGAATATGGAAATAAAGACCAACCTAGTTTGGAAATTGCAGAGTTTTGAGTAAACTATCACAGTAATAAATCTGACTTTCCTATGTCTATAATAACTTTTGAAAAGTTTGAAAATATGATTGTGGCACCCAACTTACGAAACTCTGCCAACAATAGTGCAAACGCTTTTTGCATGACCTGTCAGAGTAGATAATAATAAATGTAACTTGATTATAAATTTTTTTTTTTTTTATTGAAAATGTAAAACTGTTTCATATTTTAATCCAATTCACATACTTCCTAAAAAGATTTAATAATCATAGAAAGACCATCTAATTATTGTCAAATCCCATATTGTTGTATCTATTTTAAGGAATTGCACAGATTACAAATAATTGCATCATTGAAACAATAAAAAGTATAGAACATAACAAAAACAAAAATATTGTTCTTGATTCCCCCTGCTGCTTATATTCTGTTCATGTAAATTGTATTTTGCAGATCAGTTCTTACTTTGCAGATAAACTTCTAAGGATTATTCGTGATACCATTCTTCATATGAAGGGAACAAGCAAGTCTAATATTAACCAACATGATGGGAATCCACTAGTTAATAATACCAATATGGGAGATCCTGCACTAGAGTTCATTAAGCATGTCTGTGCTGTTCTGGCTCTTGACCAAAATGTTCAGCATGATATTCTGGTAAGCCATGTTTCAAATATTTTGACATCAATGTATTGATAAAGTTATGTAGAGAAGGGTGGTTTTAGAACATGGAAAGAGTTTGTCAATATATTGAGGTTCTTTTAATTCTATGGTCAATATGTAATAGAGAAGGGTGGTTTCTTGTTTGTTGCTTTGTCTTCTTGTTTCTGATCAAAATGCTATGAGAAATAGTTCATTTGACTGAGAAGTACCAAGTGCTAAATGACTTGTTGTTAGTGGGATTGAGTTAGGTTATGGCTCAATGGTCTATTACTGATATTGTTGGTAAAATAAATGCAGAGAGATGAATAAAAAATATTATAGAAGAAATGAAATCCACATAATTCAAGCAAAATAAAATAAAAAAAAAAACGTAATTCTAACTAGTCTAAAATCGCATCCGCGAGACAACACTTGTTACAAAATCTGCATAATTGAAGCAAAATAACAGAGCAGCAAAATAACAGAGCAGCAACCAAAAAATAAACAAAACATAAAGCCCTAAGGCAAACAAAACTGAAAGCAGATTTTGGGACGATCTAAATAAGTGCACTTTTTGACTTTTTATGAAATATGGGTTGGGTTTGGGTTGGGTTTGAAGTGATGTGTTAGAGAGGTGATGTAACTTAAATAAGATGATGTGACTTAAATAGGATAGTGACTTTTTGACTTTTTGTCTTTTTCAAGACATGCCAAACTTGGCCTTAGAGCATCTCCAATGGTTGTTGCTATAATACCATTGCTATTACTATAATTTAGTAATGAATAGTGCTATTTTGTCAAATTATAGCAATGGTGCTCCAATGGTCACTTACTATTTTGACAATTCTCAACCAACTTTCCCTCCAAGTTTGTAGGTATTGTTTGAATATAGGTTTTTTTGTGATTTTATTTTTGTTTATTTTTTGTCTTTTATGACATTTTTTTAACTATTTGTAAAAAAAATTATATATTTATATTATTCCTGACTAGGCAAATATAAAAAATGAAAAAAATTTGAAAAATTAGAAAAAAAAAATATAATTCAATTTGAAAAATTAAATAGAAAATTTAAATTTGAAAAATTACCTGGTTTTCTGCTGTTTCAATTCTGTTTTTTCAATTGAATTTGGAGTCACAAATATGTTCATATTTGTTAATGTGGCATGTTTGGCAATTGCTATTTAACTTGCCAAATTTGAGAACAGATATGGCATATGCCATCTTTGACAAGTAAAATAGCAAGCCATTGGAGACCCACTTTCTATCACTATTGCTAAATTATAGCTTTGACAAGTGTTTTGAGAGCTCCATCGGAGATGCTCTTAGATCCGAAAAAAATTTAGATCGAATCAAAAGTCATATAACAAGAGATAATCAAGGAATTACGACAAGTGTAGTTGAAATTCATATAATGTATACAAAATGAAAAATACAGGGATTCAATCATTTGGGCATAGAATAGTGCAGCAACCAAAAAAAGGACCGAAAGCACAATCCAAATTTGATATGGAGCCAATAATTTTTTTCTCAAAGAATCTCATATCAACAAGGGAGATTAGCTTGACTAACTCACGAGAAATAGTGTCGATTATATAATCGAGAGGGAGAGAGTGAGAGAGAGAGAGAGAGAGAGAGAGAGAGAGAAGAGGGGTATAGATCTGAACCTTTCTACCTTCTCTCAATGCCATGATCTCCAATTCTCGATCCTTATCTGCGCAAACAACAATTCTCGATCCTTATCTGCCCAGATGAAAATTCTTGATCCTTATTTGCACAAACAAAAATCATCCAAATCAACCAAATCGGGAAGGAAGAGCTTCAGAGAGAGAGGTGGAGAGAGAGAGAGAGAGCATCAAACTTCGAACTCACCTTAGTAGACGATGGTGAGTAGGGCTGCAAATAAACCGAGCTGTTCATGAACAAGCTCGGCTCGGCTTGTTAAGGGCTCAGCTCGACTCGGCTCGGCTCGTTTAAACGAGCCGAGCTCTATATTAAAAAAATATATATATATAAATAATACTATAAATACATTTTTTATATATTAAATAATATAAATAATATTTTTTATTTAAATATTTATATTTAAATAATATTAAAAAAAATTATCGAGCCGAGCCGAGCTCGAGTTTCATTAAAATTAACGAGCCGAGCCGAGTTCAAGTCTAGTTCTTTATCGAGCCGAGCTCAATAAGTAAACGAGCCGAGCTCGAGCTCAGCAAAGCTCAGCTCGGCTCGGCTCAGTTCGTTTGCAACCCTAATGGTGAGAACTTCAGACGATGGAGCTTCAAAATCGAAATCAAAATCGAAATCAAGAGAGAACTTCGAACTTTGATCCGTTGAGAGGGTTTGGAGAGAGAGAGAGAGAGAGAGAACGAGTGAGAGATTGAGTGAGTGAATGAGAGATTAGGGCTATTATTTCCCTTAGTAATTCACCAGCCCGTTTTCTGTAAGAGAGAGTGTGTGCTTAGACATTTGAAGGCCTTTTTAAACGCTTGTATTATCAAAACAACGCTGTTTTAATTTTTGAAAAAAGCGATGCTTAAAAAACGCCGTTAGATATTATAAAAAGTGGCATGTAAAAAAAAAGCCTTTAAATAAACGTTGTCAAAGCCCACATTTCCTGTAAGAGTAATATTAGGAATCATGAAAAAAATATCATGAAATGTATCATGAAATTTTTTTATCCTTTGGTTAGTGTTGATTAGTGTGTGGTGTTTTATTGTGCGTATAATCCAAAGGTGAAGAATCTTTCATGATTATCTTCATGATATTTTTTTCATGATCCCTAATATTACTCTTCTTGTAATGCTACTTTCTTGCTCGTTTTGCTACTCAGCCAAGGATTATGAAAGTTAGTGACGTTTTATTTTATTTTATTATTATTTTTTTTTATTATTTTTTTTTGGTCAAAAAAGAATGGATGTATAGCGACCCCGGTCTTTTCCCATTTCATTATTGTATCCGGACTGTTCCGTAGATTCTGTCTTTGTATAATGGTTGTTGTTGTTATTCCTTATTTTCTCATTTGGAATTATAGGATGTGTTGGGCAGGTTTGTTTCAGGTTGGTTGGGTTTAGAAACCAAGAGTTGCTGTCCAGGTTTTAATGGGTTAATTTTGAGGGCGTTACAGGATGGCACCCCCAAGCCATGTTGAAACCTATTTGAGCTATTGTTATGCATCTATAGATTTATGCTGTTGAGTTTAGATGTATCTTCCATTTATATGTATTTGAGAAAATATCATTCCCCTTCTCCCTCAAACTATCACTAAAAAATCAATTCACCCATTTTCTTTTAATAATATCAATTTTATATCTAAACTATTTGATTTTGCATCAATTTTACCTCCATCATCAATCGCTGTCTATAATCAAACAGAAGTTACTGATATGGTACCCAAACTTCATTTGAAATTCTATTTTACCTTCCAAACTATCTCCAAAATATCAGTTAGACCCCTGAATAAAATGAAGTTTGGGGGTCTAATTGATATTTTAGGGATAGTTTGGGAGGTAAAATGAAATTTCAAACTAATTTTAGTGTCACATTCGCAACTTTGGGAGAAGACACAAGGGAGTTTTGAAAGAATCCAATGTTACGAGTGCCAAGAATGCCCAAGCTGGAAAAGAAAGAAATTTCTTTAGTAACTTAGTATGATGAGACAGATTCTAACAATGACAATGTTGACAATGAGGCTTGTAGTGAATAAGAGAATGGTAACTATGTGGCTTTTATTGCAGTGTCTATAGCCGAGGGACAAGTCAATTATGCATATGGTCACAATGTTTCTAGCTCTCCCTTCTTTGATGGAAGTGAATACTTGTACTGGAGAGCTCGCATAATAGTGCATTTGATGATGCTAAATATTAATTTTTAGATTATAGTAAGGGAAAGATTCGAGTTTCCCTATGAACTAGACTTCGAAGCAAATCTGAAGAACTTGAAGGTGTAAGAGCAATGAAGTGAACTTGAGTTAAAGCACATGGAGTACAACTCAAGAGCCTTACATGAAATATGACATGCTATCTTGGAAAGTGAAAAGAGTCACATTTTACATTGTGAGACTGTCAAAGAAGCATGGGATGTGCTGAAATCTATTCATGAGGAATGTGCAATCTACGAATGAATCTCAAGGCACCTCCATTACTCATGTAGCGAGTGTTAATTCTTCCGATGGCAATTCATCCATTGACAAGAGTGAAATGAAAGCTCCTTATCTCATTCTACAAATGGTAGAATAGGGTCATTTAGTGAAGAGGAAGAAATAGATGGTGAAACTCTTCATCAACCCTATGAGAAATTGTATAACAGGAGTTACACCTTGACAAAAATAAACATAAAGTTGTCAACGAAACTCAATGTGAGTAGAAAGAAGAAAGAGAAACTAGAGCAAGAGCTCTTTGAAGCTCAAGTTGAAGTAAGTGTTCTCACAAATGAAATAGGAACTTTGATTGAAGCTCTCCACATGCAACAAGGAGAGAAATCATTTACTTTGTATAAATGATGAGCTAAAAAAAGTGGAATGGTATTCTTAAAGTGGAAATGGAGACTTGTGTAAAGTCCAAAAATGAGCTTGAAGCATAGATCACTTTGTTAGAGTTGGAACTCAAGAGTGCCAATGCTAAATTGAAATTTTGGAACATGGATTATAAAAAATTTGGATGTTGCTCTTAGTGCTCAACAAATGGGGTTTGACAAAGGAAACCTCAGCTTCAACAGAAGCCTCAACTCAAAATCCAAAACATACCTCTAGGGATGAAAACACACAAGGAGTGAAAAAGCTTTGTCACAACTAGAGGTAATATCTTTTTACTCCATTTGTCTTATAAAATAGTTGTCAAGAGTAGTTTTGTGCCTATTTGTCATCATTATGGGGTTAAGGGTCACACTAGACCTCATTGCTTTGAGTTGTATGAAACCAACTGTACGGGGAGTAAATATTCCGGCGTGCCCGTACTCCTTTCTACCAAGCTCCATGTCTGTTCGATCGACCTGCGAACACAACGGCGGTGAGCTACCCGGCGGTGTGTGGCCGGAAAACCCCTCCGACGGTCAAGTTAGCACACACTCAGGGATAGAGAGAGAGAGAGGAGAGATTTGAGTGTTCAAGTGTTTCTTACCAAATGATCCATCCCCAGCATGGGGAGCGCAGTCAAGCTTATATACTCTCTGCACTCCAAATCTGCTCCCATTAGTCTCTTGACACGTAGTGCTGCTTTCCCATCCGTCAGCACAAATTCAGTAATCACCACCTAACCAAGTTGTCAGGCTATATTATCGGAGCTCGGCAGACCGGCAGTACCACCTCGGCCTTTCGTAACCGTGCTGCGTAGCGTGCCCGAGTGCTCCACTCGCCGTGCTCCATAACGTCCAAGTTTGGTTGCGTCCCGGCAAAGCCGAGTTCGAGACAGGTCAAGCCGGTTAACCGAAGGCCTTCCTGCCGAGCTAAATGCACGAACCATGGAAGCCGGAATGGCAGGCAATCATCTCGGCCGAGCAACTCAAGTAGCCCGGTTTCTACATAGACAAGTTCAAGTAGCTCGGTCCAACACGGTCTTGGGTCTTAACCGAGCAACACCATCTCCGGGCAAGCCCAAGTTATCATGGCTCACACACGCTCGGCCCTCAATTTGCCCGGCCCTTTCCATGGCCCATTTCCAGCTCATAAATCTCCCTCTCAATTGCCCCTTAATTCCGTCCGCAAAAGCGTGACTCGGATTACATGATCCGACCGGGGCAGACTCTTCATCGGTCCTTAGTTTGCAAGACGTCAACCGTGCTAATTTCTGTGTTCGGTTCCTCGATTTGCTCAGCTGATGCCTCATCTTGCCTTCCTGTCTCTTCAATTCTGACGCCGCCGTTAATTGGGACACGCGTCGCTCATCCATTGGCCTCGAGCAGCCAACCCTCACGTCCCTTCACATTCAAAACTTTTGGCGGTCTTCCTCTCCTATATATACGTCATTTCCCCTTCACATTTTCCTCTTACTGACTCTCTTACATTACAGACGTCCCAGAGCTCCAGTGCCCTCATCAAGCTCCGTTCCTGCCCTCTCCAGCATTCGTGTTCGAAGAAACAACTTCTGCCCCTAAACTGGTAAGTCCTTCGAATCATCTTTATCGCTTTTTCATTTGATATTCCACATTCTAGGGCACAAAAACCATAGATTTTATGGTATAACTCCCCAAAACCCTCCTATGCCCCTTGTTCTCCTTGCTGTTTTTCAGCCCCAGTGATGAACACCTGAAGATCTGGGGCGGACCGAGCTCCAGGTCTTCTTTTGATCCCAAAAAACATCAAGACCGAGCGAATTGCGAGTTTAAAGAAAACTTCTGTAGAAACCGAGGTAGGCAGAGTACTTGACTAGTCGACCGGGCTAATATCTGATCTGCTTGACCGGCCGAGCTTCTGAATTTACCTTCGTGACCGAGGTGGTCTGGCACTCCATCTGACCGAGCTAAAGTCAAGCTCGTTTTACGCGACCGCGTTTCCACTTACACTTGCCCTCCTTTTCCTGCAGAGTCCAAGGGGACCACACCAACTCTGAGGCTCTTAAAGACCGAGAAGCCATCAAACAAGAGTTTGTGCTAAACCACCTCAGCCGAGCTAAAACCAGCTGGCCACACATGGGGTGCTACCGCTTCCTGGTCGACACCCCGGTCGCCTTAGCCGCGTTCGGGAAAAATACGGTATCTCGGACGACGTTCATTTAGAGCTTGGCGTTGAGGACACAACCCCATGGGGCAGATTAGACCAGTGTCCCTTCACCGT